ATGCCTATCGTGATGGAAGAAATCGCAGAATTTAGCAAACAATACCAATTAACTACAGCGACCATACCTGTTCGTTGAAAAGATATTTTTACTTTCTACTCGACCTACCTAACAGGTTCACGAATCCTTAAACACCACTGATTTGTAAGTTAAGCATACCTACTCGATACAGCTGTTGATGACACCACAATAATGGCATTCTGCAAAGACCCCAAGGAAGCATCAAAGATACCGCATCAAAGCCCTCGAAGAAGCATTCAACATGGCTCGATGAAATGCGAATCGAGGTATATGAAAAAATTGCACACATGTACATTACGAAGAAATATATGTTCTCTAGGTACGATAAATAACTGTGAGATATTCCGTGAAGAAATGGTAAAATATAATATTTGAGTATTCAACTGGAGAGAAGGTTGATTTAAAAAAAAAACGTATTAAAACAAAAAGATTATTTATTCAATTTTAATGGATTCTTGGGAAATAGTATCAACTGAAACTAGAAAACAACCTGATTGTCTACAAAGATATAATTAAATATATTGGGACTTATGCCATCCATCTTTTAGAAGATTATACCATACATACATACGTTTGTCAAAAAATCTAAATATTACAAAAATCTACTTAATTTATTACAGATTCACGAAACTCTAAGCACTAGTCATTTGTAAATTTTAAATCTTAGGATGGTCAGTTGATAGCTGTCATTCAAATTTCTACTTTATAACATATTAATTACGTAATTAAAATGCTGAAGGTAGCATACTAAATTTTTAATTGAATCAATGAAAAAAATACATTAGCATGGATAATGACGTAGTCAATATTTCAAAGAATTCAGACATAAACTCGATTTCTTATATTTTACTTGCATTGCATATTATATTTATCTCTTTTCACTACAAAATTAAATTTACGATATTTGTCCTAAGTACACTTTAAGAGGTCTCCCTAGTATAGCAGCTAAACAAATTTATTTTCTGAAGTGTTAAGTGTTAGTCAATAAAAATACTTCGTTTATACAGGGTGAGTCTTATAACGTGACGACCTGAAATAAATCGTAAGGTATTTATTGTACGACAAAATATTTCAAACAAAAGTTGCATGGTATCTAGGGGGACATACAGTGCTGTAATTTATTTTTCGTTACCTTACTTTTTTATTGAAATATTTGGTTCACCTTTAGTTCTTTAAATGGAGTATCTTATATTTCTTTTCGAATTCGGATAAATCATCAAATTTTGCTTAAAAAAGTATTACATGAAGTGGGACTTGAAATGAACAATTACTGAGATATTTATAAAAGAAGTTTATGGGCAATAGTTGTTAAGGTTGAAGTACGACAACCTTCATTATTCACAACTTTGTGATACCTTTTTAACCGGCTTCGAAAAGGAGGTTACTCAATTCAACGTGTTTTTTTTCGTGTCTGTACATTAAAATTGCCATGTTCTTTGAGTCTTCGACTGAGCCTTAAGAAGGTAGAATGCGATGGCTGATTTCGATCAGGATACTTAGCTCGATACAAGATCTTAGCTCTTATAGCATTTTCCTCACACGCACCATAAACAATTATCATAACGTTGTTTCACTGTTACTGAACATCGTAAGAAAAATGTAGCACCTTTCTCAATACGACTTTAACGCTTACCGAGATACTAAATAGGCATTTCGTGTTGATGATTATTAATATTTAACAAGGAACTTGTTTACAGGCATGACCTACCGACGTGAATAAAGTCGTGCTAAGAATCACGTTGACTAGGCGTATTTCCTAATAGAAGATTATTAATTTGAAGATATCTCAGTAATTATTCATTTCAAGTCCCACTTCATGTAATACCTTTTTAAGCAAAATTTGATGATTTATCCGAATTCGAAAAGAAGTATTAGATATTCCATTTAAAAAACTGAAGGTGACCCTAATATCTCAATAAAAAAGTAAGGTAATGAAAAACAGATTACAGCACTGTATGTCTCCTTAGATACCATGCAACTTTTGTTTGAAACATTTTATCGTACAACAAATACCTTACGATTTATTTTAGGTCGTCGTGTTATAAGACTTACCCTGTATAAATATATGCTCATCCTCAAACATATACAATATATGTTTAGTCTTTATGTCAATAAAGAAAACTATTGATTGATTTTTTTTTTTGGGAAAACTATAAATGTTGAGACAAAGCTTAGGACCCTTATGGATGCGAGTTTCAGGTTGACCAGATACGGTTTTTCCTGCTTCCTTCTTGGAGATCCTCTGAAAGGATTGGGAAACTGTCATCAATCGTTTATCTGTTTCCTTGCATACTCTTTGAATCAGTGTGTATGTTGCCATGTATGTTGTATATACCAACATATTCCTTAAGTGATAATACATTGCTTGAACTATTGAAAAATGTTTAAAAAGAAACAAAATGGGGTTCGTCGACTGCAGCAGGAGAGAGGTTGTAGTAGGTGCCGACAAGTTCAGGGACACCGTGAACCCGATGGACACGCTTTCGCCCATGGACGACAGAGTTTACCGCGGCCGATTGAACGATTGCTCGGGGCGCGGACGTGACGGGAGGTAGATCGTTATTAAGAATATTCCTTAAACGGAACGCAGCCGATGTACTTATAACGGAGGGGTCCTTGAGAGCAAGGAGACTCCTAGCTCCGGGGCTGATTGCCTGCCTCGTGGAAATGCGCCGCAAACAGATCAAACTGTTAAAAACTAATTGCGAACTGGACACTGGGATCGAATGGACCCGGAGCTCTGAGTCGTTTGTACTCGAAACGTGTTTCTTCGTTTCTTTCGTCTGTCATCCCCCCCCCCCTTCCTCTCTCCTATGGAGAGCGTATAGAGATTAATATTGTAATCGGAGAAGATAAAGATATTGATCAAGATTTGAATATAGCTCGCTATTTTTTGTTGGGTTCGTTCGTTATCTGTGCTTGGCCCGTAAATTATTAGTTTTCGGTTGAAATGATCCATACAAAATGATTGATCGACCGATTGGTTTCGAAACTCTACAATAAATCAAAGTGTTTCCTGTTGTTTAATCGCTACCACGGGACAGACTAGAAATTTTTCTATGGTTTTAATCGCGAATATTCAAGTAGGATTTTGTTTAAAGTTGAGTTAGAGCAGATATTTCGAAATAAAGAATTTCAGAGACATTGTAAAACTGTGCTTCGAAATGAAAGTCTCCTAATTACGTCAGACGATCGAATCTTCGGACCACTATGAAAAAGTGGCCAAGTCATCGAGGAATGCGTTGCTCGAATAGGTTGAATGTCGAATCGAAGATACTCTCGATTCGGAGATTGGTTCTACGTCGGTCTCTGAGGCACAGAGGTTAGAATAAAACGTGTTATTACCGAACCCTTCCCCATTTTTTTCCTTTTCCTTCTTGCCGCTTGCTCTTCGAATGGAGTGGAAGTCTCAAACATTTGTATTCGTAGACGTAACCATGAAGATTACGAATAGAGAGGCAAACGTTAGCATCGTATCTAAGCAAGAGTTATGTCTGGAATGGAAGAATTGGCTTCGAGTGACCAATTGATTTTATCTCAATGATCCTGAACGATCCTGACTCTAAAAATTTTAAGTACACATATCTATCTTCCTACCCAAGTCCAATACTGAAAATGGCTGCTACCGAAGGTGCTCTCAACGCCCTCAAGCGATCATTATATTCTTCATTATACCATTGAAGTTATTCCTGATTGCAAAGTCTCTCCAGATATAATGGAATCATTTTCAAATAAGTTCAACGGAACTTGAGAAGAAACAATGGGTTCATAACGAAGGTGAAGGCTTCGTATACTTTTTCCTACAAAGCGAATGACCGCTGAACGCTGGGAGTGTACAGAATGCGTTTAAGCCATCGAAAGAGTCCATAATGGCGTTCGAGACGTTCGTAACAACGCGGCTGATTCTGTGCTGAACCAAAGACAAATGTCCAAGGGCAGCCGGTCACGATAAAAGGATACCAACACGATAAATCATAGTCCATGCGTCGCGGAGGGAGTCTCGGCTGGCTCGAGAAGCGAGTTTCTCGGAAAGCATTAGTCATATTGAAAGTGTTAAACGATCGACGCCTCCGAAAACAATATCCGGCCTGATAGCCGACGAGGGTGAAAAAATAGGGCGATAAGACGACGAAGATGGATTTGTTCTAAGAAAAATTCATGTCCAAACGTTGTCAAATTCTGTTCGTTCCATTGGAATCGTTCACTCCACTTCAAAATTCCAACGATAAATTTTTCACTCATTGGAAAAACATAGTATTTTACCCTGTTTGACAACGTGTGACAGAACTATCGACGTGTTTCTAGATTAAGAACGCGTAAAAATGTTTACGGTTCAGAGGATCAGCATCGATCATTGTCAGTCATCATATGCTGTTTGTAAAAATTCCGGAATCCTTCGGCAAGCACTGTTACTCCGTGGGGCATGACGAGAAACTGTCAAATTCTGGAGAAAGGACAGCGACTTTCGTCGTCTAAGGATAACGTTGCTAAAAAATGAATCCTTGTGCGGGATATTTTGGATCTAGAACAACGCGAATGAAGATTGACTTTATAAACTTAAAATATGATATATTTAGAAGGATATGTTTTAAAATGGGATAGTTTGGATATAGGACAACACAAACAAAGATTGATTTTAGAACCTTTAAATAAAATATATTTAGAAGGATATGCTTTAAAATGGGATATTCTGGACGTAGGACAACACAAACAAAGATTGATTTTAGAAACTTTAAATAAAATATATTTAGAAGAATATATTTAAAAATGAACTAAGCAAGAACTGCTTTAGACTATTAATGACTGGTTGACTGATGATTCTGGTTTCGGGAGACCTCCTTTTATCATGTTCCTTTTCCCCGGTGATCTTCCTTAACGTAGCAGATTCTGCGTGGAAAAGTATGATCCAAATGTTTTCGAGATGTTCCTCTCATTGATGCAGATTGCAAGAGCATGATCAAAAATATTTATTTCGGACCTTTATTTATTTATTTATTGTCCGGTGCCACAGACGTATGGATGTAATGATGACTTCACAGCGTGTCCTTGCTTCGCAATGTCCAAGCTACGAGGTACATAATAGTTTCTTAATTAAAATCTCGGAAGGCGTGACGGATTCAAGGCCGACCCCCCCCCCCTTCCGGTAACCGAAAGTAATTACACTTATCCAGAAAAATTTATTAAACTTTTCACCGGACAACCGCCTTCCTCTCTGTAAGTCTTTTTCCAAGTCTCCTTAATATCGGTACATAATTTATTACGCGAACAGAAGCCGTGTTTTCATTAGGGCTATAAATACTGGAGCTGCGCTTTATGAGCCGGAGGGATAAAGTGGGTCACTCGGAACTGTAATAAGATTCTATGCACTGTAGCAATATACGTAGCACTATCCAAAGGGTAGTTCAATAAATCGTGTATTACACGTTTGCTAGGAAAGTAATATATTCCGCTTGCTACTGTGGGAAAGATTATAATATACGCATCGAACGTTTCCTTTCGGAAGAAGATTGTACTTATAGATTGATTGAAACTATTCAAATAAATGCGAAGCCGATAAGAACGTTGCCAAGAAATGATTTCTGATTAAAAATTATCAGGGGAATAATTTAATAAAAATTCCTCAGATTTAGCCCTTAATAAATCTGATCATTTTCCAATTATTGTCACTCCACTCTTCAATGATACGTACCTGCAATCGTGAAATAATCTCACTTCATGAAGAGTAGTGTATCTCAATACAGCGATTTTTAAATATTGCGTGTTTTCTTGTTCTTTTTCCGTTCTTCATCTGCCTTCTAGTTTTCGCTATTCCTTTCTTCAAGAGTGCCTAGTATAACAAATCTAATAATCTCAATGTAAGAATAAGGCATGTTTTCATCTTCCTACCCCAGTTTTATCGCACTGCATCCCCAGACTCGAAGACACTGTACAGACAAACTTGGACGTTCCCTGTAACCATTGCGATATCTTCTCTGGCAATTCCATCCCCTACGTGGTCTTCATCCCTGCCAACGTGGCGCGTCTCGGCGATACGATTCCAGGAATCCATCAAGAGGCGCAATTCCGCACACTCACTCTGGCCAAGCGTTGTTTCACTTCCAGTAGGAAGGCATTATCCTGGCGCGAGTTGCGAGTTTATTGTGGACCGCGAGGGCCACAGAGGCGAGCTGTGTGCACGTGCGTCTACGTGACGGGCAGAGGCGTACGGGGATCCTCGCAGGTATACGCGTTCACCTGTCGAGGGGCCGCGCGAAACCGAACTGCCGCCAAGAGGAGAAGACCGTGTGAATGGGCTACCGTTCTGCGGTCTGCGGCCCGTGTTTTTCTCGTCGATTGGAATGCGAGCTGGCTGTATCGACCTAAGAAGCGGAAGAGCCGCGAGAGGTACAATCGGCTCGGTTGCGTTCGCGAGAAACGCCTTGGTTTAAAAGACGACCCAGCGAAACCGAACACCAGCTGAACGTCAGATAAGAGACCAGCAGAGATCATAGACTTTCCGTTAACCATCGAGCCGCGATCACCTGAGAAATGTGCGACCGTGGCCGCGATATACCATCCGATACAGTTCAGGACATCTGGCCCTGGTGGGAACTCTATGACTCTGGGGGACTTTCCGCGGGGAAATACTTAAATTAAATGTTCGTGTTATTTGTGTTGCTCATAATAGGGATACCAGTCTTGGAGTTCATCGTGACATTTTTGTAGTAATCTTGTCGCGATTCGATGAATTACATCACATGAACCGCTTTCAGTGCGCCTCGACGGGATTAAAATGTTTGCCCTTGTTTTTGTTACGATGGCGTAGAGCAACAACTAAGAGTAACATGACATATTGATTGATGATGGCTATTGTCAAATAGCGAAGAGAAGGCTTGATCCAAACAAGTGTATTTTTAGTAGACCCAGGTCGACGATTACCGTTGAATCCATTATTTTGAAAAGTTGTAGAATATCAAGGATATTTAGTCAGCACTCGAATGTCGAATTGGCTGAATTTTTAAATGAAAGCCTTGTATCGAAAAGTTCAGTCTCTTATAGTGTTGTCAGACTGAGCTATTACTTACGAAGCTTCATACGAGTACATAAACGTATCATATGTCTCGACAATTTTATATACTAAGAAATTCAGGATATTTCGGTTTATAAATAAATAAATAATAACAACTTTAGAAGTTTATATCCAATTTTGATGAAAATATCACCACAAAATATTGACGTGTCCATGCACTTCAGCGATGATTCATGGAATTCCTTGCAGACATCTGACAGCGAGGTTGTTACGAGGATCGCGAGCCGATCCCACACTAGTCGCGGAACTTGCTTTCTACCGATTAATATGCGGCCAGCTCGGTCGGAAACGATTTAAAGGCGTTCACTGGGTCCGCGCTTGTCGCGATACCATAGCTGTCACCGTTACTTGCTCTAATGGCTGCGGATAATTGGTTACAACTGGCCCGCATACGACTCATTGATCCGTGGTATCCGTGTACGCGCGTGGAAGCCGCGTACGATCGAGTTTCTCCTGCTTGCCTTTCGAAAGATCAGCCGTTTTCTTCGTTAAATCCTTTACGGTCGTGGACGCAATTAGCCGCGTCTCCAGATGCCAATCCTCCCGTACTGTACGTTCGAAGATAGAAAGTGGTCACCATCGAACATAGGTCAAAACATCCACAGGAGCGCTCTGGTGATTCGAATCGAAACTTTATGGATCGACCTGGCTGTCGATTTTTCGAACGAAACCGGCCGTAACAACTGTGGATGTCGTTTAGTAGATTGGTATTATCGATCATAGCGAAACTCTTGTAACTACATGATATGAATATATTGAATTGATACGTCACAGTGGTAACTAACTGGTTTCGCTATGTCGCGCAATCGATTTTTTATTTCACATGTCGTAGTCTGATGTGAGCCATCATTTGGAATTGTAGAAGTCACAATGAGAATTGCAACTTAGTTCAATTTAATAATATTTAAAAGAATAATGACTCTCATTTAAAAAATTTCTTTGTACAATCAGAATATTACTAACATTTGCTTAGTGGAAGAAAGTACATCCAATTTGAGCAGAAGCAATTTTAGGGAGGGATGATCCAGATCTTCTGAATCAGTTTTCGAACTGTCATTTGAGTGCAAGTTGCGCGATTCGTGCCATATTTTGTCACATTTGCCAGCTGCAACTCTAAGATGTGATACTATGTCTATCAAGAAAAAAAGACAAGAGTTGAGAAAACTTTGAGATCCTCGTGGTGAACACAACGCGGCCACGTTATGAGAATCCCTGATTAATGGCATTATATGTAACAGTGTCTGGACGTCCACAGCGCGTGGGTGAGAAAATATTGCAGGGCAATCATCTTGTATTTTCTCTGATAATGAGGTTGAGCAACATGTAGCGTATCATCGAGCGTAAGATTTCAGTCAAGTCTCGCTGGAAAGCGAACAGAGATGCCTCGAAATCTTCAAACGTGTATTTTGACCTTTGCCTCTCTTAGAGTTTCAAATTACCGGCGGATGATATTCGACGGCAGTGATTCAAACTTTACGCGACGTCTTTAGAGAACGAATTACGTAAGTCGAGCCGTGTCTCGTCTCTCATTATCTCCAAAAGTGCAATGCTATACGTTACGCCATCGAAAGCATCGAATGTCGCGACGACTGGTTTCCAATCGCCACTTTCGAGTACCGATTGCTCTCGTTCTCTGTCGCTCCAATTAAAAAATTCTTGATACCGGATCAACCACTTAACGCTATCGCCTCCAATGAGTCCCTTGTGATTCGTTATATCAGAATGCGGTCGAAGAAAAAATTATTCGATTAAAACGGAAAAACTCGTTGGATTAAATGGGATTTTGGTTTCAATTGATCCATTATGCGATATCAAGAATATTTTTGTAATACCTTCACATTTGACACGCGAGATATCGTAAAAGGGGTTGTCGAATGGTACAGTAGTGAATATGACGAGTTCCGGTCGTTGTCTAATAACGTTGTAAATATAAAAGTTTTTTCCTACAATGGGTACTTATCTAGAACTCGACAAGTTAAATGAAATCCCTGGTCTCATTTTGACACCAGTTTCTGTCATTCTTCCGTAATGTTACATTTTCTGAACAGTATCGGATAGCATTCAACAACTAGATCATAGATTTAAACGATAGTTTAGTCATCTGATCTGACCCTTGTCAATAACTTTCCCATGCTCGAGCTATTACCTTAGAAAGTTTGTTGAAATGTGCATTTTAAAAGGCTCTTTGCTAATGACAACTATAAATTTTTCTTCCGTAGAGTTCACACAATGCTGTCGTGATTCGTTTATCGTCTTCTCGGAACAAAGGTTCCTTTCATCTGAGTCTCCATTGCTGAAAGTAGATCACCATTCGTTTCTAAGTAATTCCGAAGACGTAATTTGTAATAAATACACAACAGTCGTTCAACAAACCAAGTGTCATGCACTCGCTTAATCTGTACGTGACTTATCAGTCGTAAACACTGCGTTACTCATGGCTGTAAACACTATGACACTTGTTCTCTGCGAATCTTGCGTCATGTAGTTCTCATATCATTCATGAAATAGGTGAGAGTACCTTACCATCTTAAGATAGAATGGGTACTAAAGGAGTACCTTATCCTTCCAGGTATTATATCGTTACATCTCATACAGAAAATTTGTCATCAGAATTTTTAAATTTCTGTGTCTGAGCACCCAACGTTAAGGTCGATTCAGACTATACGATACGGACCGGACTATTCGCACTTAACAGACACCGATCTGAACGTTCCGTCAACGGAAATAGTGTGAATAGTTTCATTAAAACGCGTGTTTTAATGTTTTGTCGTGTTGGTGCCGGTACGTGTCGTTGCCGGAACGTGACGGTTCGTGTCGTATAGTCTGAATTGACCTTTCGACTCCAAGATATATAAATTTTTTAAATCATTATCCTCTGTTTTTACTTTGCGTAATACTATTCATTACACAGGACGCAAGGATCAATTTTTGCGCCATGTTTCCAGGTTTCTCACGAGTAGTCATTGAAAAGAACAGAGAAACCGATGCAATGTTCCTTTGATGCAAGCAAAAGGTGAGCCATAAATGAAACGACTGTTACGAGATCGTTGAGGAACGATTGAAAGAGCGACCACGATGCGCGACAAATGACCCTCGGCTAAATTGTTTCGATCGCCTTCTCGATCGGTCGATACTCGAAGCAGCGAAATGTGGTTACTTGCGGTTGGTGTTTTCAATCATCCAGCGCGACGTCCTTGAATTCAGCTAGCAGAAGAAACTTACGGAGAAGACAATAAGATCCTCTGTGACAATAATTCCGCGTCGAGTCTTAACAAAATAGGAGACTGATAGCGTAATGTTGTCCGTATCCGCCTACCTCTATTTAAATCAACTAGCCCGAGCGATTTCGCGAAGTGCGTGGCGATATCATAATCACACGACCGTCAAGTGAATCTGGATAAAAGCGAGATCTGGCCGAGGCTTTCCCATACGGCGTGGTAACACCGTTTCGTGACGATCTTATCTTGGAAGCAAGCTCTGTAACCATGAAATCGAAAGGGGATCAATGAAACACAATGCGGTTTTAAGAGCACGGTCTCCGAAGATAACTACACTCACGCGGTTCCCCGCATTTGTATCGAAAATGATAATGTGTGCTGCAAGCAGCATTCCTCAGCCTCAACCGAACCTTCAACGTTTGCATCGCACTTTGCATTCTGGACGTTATTTCCTTCTGCTTTATGTATGTTGTCGCTCAAAAATTTGACGGCAGGTACTATATTCCATGGAGACTTAAACAAAATTACGTAGTCCGATGATATTGAGGTTTCCCATATAAGTACATATAATACTATTTCTTCTAAGCAAAGTTTTAATCATCGTCTTCATTACTTAGATATGAGTACTTAGAGTTTGCTGATATAGGAGAATTTAATGTCCTACTTACACACCAATATGCGTGCAAACTGCAACTATCTCGATAACGAAATCTCAGATT